CAGTTTCTGTTAGTGTTTAGAGTCTCCTTAATTAAAAGAGAAAAAAAACTTTACGAGGCCGAGTCTAATTATTTCTGCCCTAGGGATTTTGATAACTTTTTGACAATTAATTATACCCCACGCAACTAGTTGCGGGAGGTATAATGTTTTTGACTGGTCCGTCAGTCAGTCAGTCAGTCAGTCCGTCAGTCAGTCAGTCCTCTTTTTTTTTGTCAGCGCAACTCCTCATTAACCGCTGCACAGAATTTCGTGAAACTTTGCAGGTATTTAGGACACAATGTGTAGATATGCATATTACCAGGAAATTCCGATTCCATTATTTTTTCCGGGAATTTCCGCACTTTTAACTTAGGATTTGGCCATACCTTGTATATAGAGATGATAAGTGCAACTCCTCATAAACCGCTGCACAGAATTTCGTCAAACTTTGCAGGCATTTAGAACACAATGTGTAGATGTGCATATTACCAGGAAATTCCGATTCCATTATTTTTTCCGGGAATTTCCGCACTTTTAACTTAGGCATTTGGCCATACCTTGAATATATAGATGAACAGTTTGTCAGCACAACTCCTCATAAACCGCTGCACAGAATTTCGTCAAACTTTGCAGATATTTAGGACACAATATGTAGATGTGCATATTACCGGGAAATTCCGATTCCATTATTTTTACCGGGAATTTCCGCACTTTTAATTTGGGCATTTGGCCATACCTTGAATATAGAGATGAACAGTTTGTCAGCGCAACTCCTCATAAATCACTGCACAGAATTTCGTCAAACTTTGCAGGGATTTAGAACACAATGTGTAGATGTGCATATTACCAGGAATTTTGATTCCTTTACTTTTTCCAGGAATTTCCGTACTTTTACACGTAGATTTTTGGCCATATCTTTAATATAGAGATAAACAGTTTGTCAGCGCAACTCCTCATAAATTACTGCACACAATTTCGTCAAACTTTGCAGGCATTTAGAACACAATGTGTCGATGTGCATATTACCGGGAAATTCCGATTCCTTTATTTTTCTGGGAATTTCCACACTTGCCATATTTTAAATATAGAGATGAACAGTTTGTCAGCACCACTCCTCTTAAACTGTTTTACATAGTTTCGTCAACCTATGCTGATATTTATAAAATATTCCATTATTTTATCCCAAAGAGTTTTGACTATTATTAAAGAAAATTCCCCCCCCCCCCCCACTTCAAATTAATGTGTGGATTTGTATATTGCCAAGAAATTTTGATCCATTATATATCTAGAAACGTCATTCCACATTTAAATGTCCTCATATGCAAGACATTTTGATGAGAAGATTTTTTGCAATTATTGCCCTTTTTGATCTATACTATGTATTTAAAGTGCACTGTGCCTTTCATTATGTGTTTCACCGTCAAGTTATGGGGGAGCGTGGGGTATGTGAGCTAGCTCACTTTTTCTTTCATTTTTACTGTAATATTAATTGTTTTAGGATTAAAAAATCGAAATCAATGTTTACCACTCCGATTTCTAAGTGGGCCATCTTAAATGTTGTCAAACTTTACTCTTGGATCCTATGGGAATTTGTTGGAAAATCGCCAAATTTTTACATTTTTTTCCATATTTTTTGTACTTCTGCTCTAGGGATTTCTTATTCATTTAAGTAAATGAAAGTTAATGTAAAAAGTCATCAAATAGCGAATTTTCAAAAAAGTTCACCATCTCGATTGGTCTAGGTAGTAATTACTAAGTTTATTTTTTCGAAGTCAAATACCTCTAAAATTGCCATATTACGCTATAAATACATATCTTTGCTGATGAATTTTCGGTGCATACAATTTTTTTTCGGAAAAAAAAAAACAATTTTCGATTGCTAGTATGTTTCTTGGGAAGTTCTGTCATGAGTTTATAGTATAATATCCATGAACTTCTTGAACATACAAACGAGTCCTGCGTCATTCTTCGGCGTCATGCATTGCTTACAAAATCCGAAAACGGTGACGTTGTTAGATCCATTTCAACGTTCTTTTTCCAATAATTGTAGTTAAATCAAATTTTCAGATCAGTACGAGTTACAAATAATGTCTATTTTGTATTAAAATTAAAATTATTTTTAAAGGTGTACTGTCACACAAATGACAGCTTGAAATTAAAAAGCTGCACAAAGTGATGTGCACTCGAATTAGACTCGGCCTCATTAAAGTGCCCCTATCACCATACCTATGACCACTAGAAAGGTTATCTTATGTATTATCAATTCTATTCCTCCTTACATGATACAAGTTTAAATTTCCAAGTATAGCGTCAACTGTAGAAGTCTGTGCTACTCGTAAGGTCCAGTATACGCTAAACACTGGAAATTATGGAACGCCATAGCTGCCTTAAGGTATGGTACATAATGTAACATGGTGTGTTCTATATAATAAAGGGTTGAATCAATATAATAAATGGTCACCACTTCTTGTTAAAGGGTGAAGCTCACAAAATACATGGTGTGTTTAATATAATAAAGGGTCGGTTCTTTATGTTAAATGGTCATCATTCCTTGTTAAATGACGAAGCGCACATAATACAAGGTGTGTTAAATATAATAAATGGTCACCTCTACTAGTTATAGGGTGAAATATACAAATTAAATGGTGCATTCGATATAATAACGGGTCGATTTAGTTTGTTAAATGGTCGCTGCTAATTTTTATAGGGTGAAGTATACAAATTAAATGGTGCATTCGATATAACAACGGGTCGATTTAAAATGTTAAATGGTCGCTGTTACTAGTTATAGGGTGAAATATACAAATGAAATGGTGCATTCGATATAATAACGGGTCGGTTTAATATGTTAAATGGTCGCCGCTTCTTGTTTTAGAGTCAATGGTAGATAAATGGTGTGTTCTACTAAGTAAATGATTGGTTTATCATGTTAAATGGTTACTGCTACTTGTAATAGGATAAAATACACATAATAAATATTTGAAATAAGTCAAATAACACATTAAAAAATGCGTCAAGTACAATTTTCACGCATTGTTCAGCTAATTTACATGGTTTCAAAGAAGGCACATTAAATTTTAGATATGATAAATTAATTAACTGGTGTTAGAGAGGGATTTCAAAGACACAGTTCTCCTTAATAAAAAAAAGGAAGAAAAATATTAAGAATGAGTAGGCCGGGTGAAATTTTGAAAAGAAAATGGGACGAACTAATCCTTTGTAGAACTGGCTGATGGAACAAAAATGTCTCGTGTTTTTAAATATGTATCACTATCAAGTACGATTGCAAAAAAAAAAATAAAAACGGCTAATGGTAGGGGAAGGAGAGCTAAGTGTCAGGCGCATATGCGGTCCAGGATTTTTTTTTCGAGGGGAGGGGACTAACCCAGTAAAAGAAACATTCATTCCTGACATCTCTTGACAAGCATTAAAAAAAAAACAAAAGCAAAAAAAGGAAAAAAAACGCAAACCCGTTTTTCAAAAGTGAAAAAACTATTTCCGGGGGGGGGCACCTCTCATGAGTGTTACTTCTCTTTTCTCCGTACGTTTAACGAAAGGGGGGGGGGGTAAAAATTGAAAGCCGTCAATAATTTACAGGTTTAAATTTGAAAAAAAAACTATTGGGGGGGAGGATCTTTCTCTAACTTTTCGAAATATTCTTTATTAAATACTTTACAGTGGGACAATCTTTACTTCAACCAAGCTGCAACAAAAAATGTGTGTGTGTGTGGGGGGGGGGGCATTGGAATGAAAAAAATCCAATCGGTTCGCTTTCCCCCCCGTACCACAGACATACATAGATATCTTGATATTTTATTGTTTCAGATTGAATTGACTAATTCTGAGATGTGATGGGGCTGGACGTTGTTTGCTTCTTTATTTTTTTCTATTTTTATTGTGTGTTTTTTTTTTCTTTTGAAACTGTGTAAAATTAGCTACACATATTGACACAACTTTACCCTTTTTTTAAAATATTTCACCCTACAAAAGGTAGCAGTGACCAATTAACATAACAAACCGACCCTTTATTATATTGATTGCACCATTTAATTTGTGCATGTATATACTTCACCCTATAACAAGTAGCGGCGACCATTTAACATATTAAACTGACCCGTTATTATATCGAATGCACCATTTAATTTGTATACTTCACCCAATAACTAGTAGCGGCGACCAATAAACATATTAAACCGACCTGTTATTATATCGAATGCACCATTTCATTTGTTTATTTCACCCTATAACTAGTAACGGCGACCATTTAACATATCAAATCGACCCGTTGTTATATCGAATGCACCATTCAATTTGTATACTTCACCCTATAACAAGTAGCAGCGACCATTTAACAAACTAAATCGACCCGTTATTATATCGAATGCACCATTTCATTTGTATATTTCACCCTATAACTAGTAACGGCGACCATTTAACATATCAAATCGACCGGTTGTTATATCGAATGCACCATTTAATTTGTATACTTCACCCTATAACAAGTAGCAGCGACCATTTAACAAACTAAATCGACCCGTTATTATATCGAATGCACCATTTAATTTGTATATTTCACCCTATAACTAGTAGCGGTGACCATTTATTATATTAAACACACCTTGTATTATGTGCGCTTCGCCCTTTAACAAGGAATGGTGACAGTTTAACATAAAGAACCGACCCTTTATTATATCAAACACACCATGCATTTTGTGCGCTTACCCTTTAACAAGAAGTGGTGACCATTTATTATATTGATTCAACCCTTTTTTATATAGAACACACCATGTAACATTATGTACCATACCTTAAGGCAGCTATGGCGTTCCATCGGAAATACTTCTTATATGTATGTCTTGAACCTTCACATTTTATACACGTGTTTTCCTGTTCAGTAATTTATCAGAAGACTGTGTCTAGTCCCCTGTGACTCTTGTTTTAAAGTGCATGATTAAAAAATATACATACTGCAGTAATATATATAATGCATTTGTAGAAGCAAAGTTTCAATGATATTTCAGGAACATACCCAAATCTCCTGAAATATGCGCAAATTCCTATTGTAAACCAGGGGACCTGCAAAAGACTTTACAACCAGGGAGGCTACAACATAACGGACAGCATGTTTTGTGCCGGTAACATTACAGGAGGGTCTGATACCTGTGATGGAGACAGCGGTGGTCCTCTGGTCTGTGAAATCAACGGTAAGCTACATAAGAGAGTGACAATTGATGCGATGTTTTGTGTCCAAATTAGCCATGACTTAAATTCCCTTTTTAAATTGTAATTTTATGCTTTGTATATCTTTTCTCCTAGGGAAATACGCTGTATTGGGTGTAACTTCGTGGGGACACGCTGACGGCTGTGGGCTTCCAAATTTTCCAGGGGTGTATGCCAATGTCAAAAGTCTTCTGCGGTGGATCAGAAAAACCCTTGCTGAATAATATTCAGTGTATCTTCGGAATCCTTTTCATTTTGACATATTGTTACATGCAGTTACCTGAGTGCACTATTGATTTAAATTTTGTAACAATCTTCATCATATTTTCCAAACATCTCAGGAATAAATTGTTAACGTAATCATGAATAAATGCATCTAATAAAAAGTAGTAAGTAATGTTTGTTATTTGATTTTATGATTAAGGATATACAGTATATCTTCATAAATCAGTCCTCTGCCTTGAATTCTATAAACATTGATGCATAGCTAAATCATTATTACAAAAATCGATTGTACAGAAGATGTTGCACATGTAGGTGGACGTAACAAGCAGATTTAATGTACTGTTAAAAATAAATTCAATGCGCTTTATAAGGTCTAAAGAAATGTGGATGAATTTTAGTTAGATTTATTGGCACCCACATACAACCATATATGCTAGTAACTTATTTGCATCCGTTGGCATTCGATAGAACTATTACGGAATTGGCCGAGCTGAATCTTCAGTATGTGAACAGAAAATAAAATTTACATCAATTCAAAGAAGCCATTGCAAGATAATTTAGGAATTTCTTTCTATACCAGTTCATTTACGACAGTTGGAAAAGCGGGATTAGTTGCCTAACGAATCTAGCTCATCTGGTATGCATAAATTACCTCATGTTTTCAATTGTCGTTAATATCCTAGATATTTTTTGTTCTTTGGATTTCTAGAACGAGTGAAAAAATATGCCCATGTTCACAACTATGCTATAATAAAATAAGCAACCAAATTTAATACAGGAGCTCACAATGTTTTTCTTCCTTTAAATAATAGCTTCCTAATTAATGCTTAGTGTCCATGTCTAGATGTAATTAAAATTAGTTGTCTCTTATAGAGTAACTATGTTATAAAACTTGGTTACGTTTATTCTACGTTATTTTTTTTTATTTTCCATTGGCCCACGGAAAACATTGTAAATGTGTTAGAAGAATAACAATAATATATGAAAGAAGACAACAAAACATATTCTTGGATCTGAGGTGTATATTCGAGGGTTAATGTATGTCTAGATCTATGATATATAAAATGAGAAGTGACAATGTAAAAATAATTAATCAGAAACTTTGAAAAAAGGAAATACGAAAATATTTCTTCTCTGTATACATTTCATTATCATGATATCCTCCCTTTCCTTTCCCCAACTATACAGTTCCTCAGAATATGAAACCCCCTTTACCTCTCCCCCTTTCGGAGCGTGAACACATGGTGAATTGTTGTACCAGAATCAGTCTGAGGCAGCCAGTATATTATACATTCATAGACAGGGTTCGAGGGCAACATGCATTTTGTCGGACCCAAGAACCAAACTGTTTGCAGGAGACTGTTAGTTCGAGGGGTCGACGAAACACATTTTGCTACATCAGGGGAACACATTCGATCAATGTTTTGTTATACATTTTACTGTTTATAATGGTATTTTTTTTTATGAAATATTTGTTAATCCTCACTGCATTTAAAGACTGTCAATATCGTAAAGTTCTGACAGCTGACCCACTTTGACATAAACGGTACATTATCTCATCGAAAGATCCAACATCTCGCTTCACGGTCAAACACTTTATTTGACTATTTGACTGAAGAAAACGGTAGAAAGGTTATTCTTTTTAGTATAAATTTATATAACAATTTTTAAAGGTATAACAAAAATTACATATACAACTCACCTAAAAAATTTTGAATTTTAACAAGCAAAAAATGGGTGGTTGAAAGGAGGTAACAACAGTTTGACAACCAAATTTTATATTTTATTAACACAAATTAGCAAATAATAGTTACTATAATTTTGGTTTATACAATGTTAGCCTTATAGTTTTTTGGTATTAGACCTACACTCATAACTTTTACCTGATCTATTATCTGACAAAAATGTAAGTCAAATTCAGCATCCGAAGCAGGTCCATTTATGTGCATCCTAAGATTTATCATCCATGCAAGTTTGCTCATTATAGGGCTCATAGTTATTTGGAAATGAAACATCATCAATAACAAACATTTTCACTCATTCACAAAATGTAGGAGCCCGGTAGTATGCATCCTTAGATGTATCATCCATGCAAGTTGGTCAACGTAGGGCTTATATAGTTACTTTGAAATGAAACCTGCACCAAAAATGTTAACTTGCTCCAAAAACATTAACCTGGTCATTCCTTGGCTGAAATTACAACATCTGAAACATTGACTGGTACATGAAACACACAAGAACCATCTTCTATTCATGTCTAAACAATAAAGGACATAGAAGTACAAAGAAAAGTGCTCCCAAATACTTAACCTCTATACCTGGGACGCCGACACCGACATTGACGCCGAGATATTACACAAGCTCCCTTCGTTGAGATGAGCTAAACAGGTATTGGCAGTATAAAAGAGTTGAAAACAACACCAACTATGCATTTGACTTGAATTTGCGACTCCCCCTGCGATGTGCTTTCCCATACACGACTCCCTCTACGTAACCGTCACTGTCTAAGGAGAAAATGTCTTAATTATTATTTTTTTTTAAGTCTAGTCAAGAGTAAGTTGTTGCATTTAAAAGATAAACGTTTTCCCTCGCTATTTTAACTGTGAAAATCCCTACAAAAGCCGTAGATTGTACAAATCATGCATGTTTTTACCATCCGATCAACGTAAATATGAAAACTGTCAAATAGTTTCAAAGTGTTTGAGAAAACTAGACGTATATGACAGCCGGACAAATGACCAAAATAAACCTTAACTATTGCCATCTTCCGTCGGATATTTGTTTTTTGTAAATACATCTTACAAATACTAAAAAAAGACGTGACCCACATCTCTTCCGACTCCGAAGCGGTGAAAATCTACTCCCCCATACGTTGAAAACGACTCCCCCATACTTTTTAGCGACTCACCCACGTTACCCGTTGTATACATACGGTGTTTATACAGCTGGGTGTTGGCTAGTGTTTGTCAGATGAGGTCTGGACGCCGTGAATTATACTTTACCCAATGCATAGTGATCTTGGGTGTGCCTTTTATGTAATCCATGCTGTGTGAACTTGGGTGTCTACTGTTTCCCCTGCTTTGTGATCTTGGGATTCAGGGATGTTTTGTAGCGGCGTTGAGAGCAAGACCTGGGGGCCGACAGTATGATTTTTAATATATTCGATCAATGCATACTATGTATGCAAGATATATTACTGTATTCAGAGGCAGCTCACACAAATTTGTCCGACCAAAATAGTTCCATCATGATAAGTAGATACAACATTATTGTTCATGATAAGAGTAAAGTTGTGTATGTCATACGTTAAAGAAATCAAAAATAACGTCAAAATATTATTAGAAAATCACTTTCCCCCCGAAATGCAAATGAAAAATATCAATATTCCTACGCTGGCTCCCTCCTCAGCCTTTTTTGTTTGATAACAGAGAATAACAAGAAACATATTGACGCAAGCGTCAAAAATCGGCCGCAAACCAATTTATATAACCGTTGAAATTTATTTAGAAACTGAAATTTGCTGGTTTTTTTGTTTTTTGTTTTTTTTTTCTTTTTTAATTTTTGAATGTATATTTTTCTGTTAAAACATCCTCGTGACACAAAAAAAAATGCATGAGACAAGGCCGATTTTCTTCATGAATAATGTATGTACAATATTACATGTATAGGCAATATGAACTGTGCATAGTCCTCTGCGTCTCTGCACTCAGTTTGGTACAACTTAACGAACTCTGGTGAGTTTGCTGTTTAAGTAGTTTTTACATAAAACGTACAAAACTAAAGTTTAAACTTAGCTATAGTTTTACCTTAATAAAAACGCAACAAATATATAATATATGGGGCTCCTCTCTCTCTCTCTTAGAGGATATTAACCCCCCCCCCCAACTACTTCTAGATCCACCACTACATAACTTCTCTTTCAATCTCTTTGTTTTGGTGTTGAGATGTGGCGGGAAAGTGTTTGGCACATTGTAAAACGCGCTCTATCCTAGTCTCCTGGAAGAACATGTCGTAAAATTCTTTGCTTTTAAGAAATCAATATTTCATCATATTTTTGAAAAACATCTATAGGAAATGTTTAAATATACACTTCATTTCAAATAAATACAGCAGATCCTGTTTTAAAAAGAGAAGGTAAAATTGTTGATTTGCAACGCGGTCTTTGTTTTAGACTATGCCTAACACTCGTACCAATTTTCTCCGCACTTCAGTTATATCAGAGTTTGTCAATCAGGATTGGATGAAATATTTACCCCATTATTTATAAAATTTAATTTTACGATTATTGTGCCTTTTCTAAGCATTTAGACAATCTTTGTTAAATATTGACTCGCCAGCGATATGAATATGATGAATGTTGAATATTTTTATTTAAATTGTTAACTCCGCAGAAAAGCACAGCGACTTAAAACTTTCATATCATATAACCGACCGCCTCCTGGCGGCCGGTAATTAGGTCATTCATCGATTCATATCTTTTCACCGATGAATTGATAATACTATGTCAACAGTTGTATTAAGTTCATGTTTATAGTCCGTTAATTATCATACAATTTGTTCTTGAAGAAAAAATTCATCATTCTGCGTGTGTGTATTATTAAATGACGGATTTTTCAATCCCTGGCCTGCTCGTGTGTACACTTTGTAAACTGTAGGGTATGTGTGGCAAAACGAGAACTGGGTTGGAGATTCGGGTTCGTGCTGAAGTTCAGCATACCATTTTAAATAGAACTTGAATAATGTAAGTAATTTCTGCGACAAATACATTAGTATATTTCAGTTATTTAAAAAAAAGGTTTTCCATGTTTTCAGTTTAGAATTTTCCGACCCGGTCCTGATTTTCCTAACCCGGCCATTTTAAACACAAGTCGTTGCAGATGCAAATGTTAGAACAAACTATATATAGTTCAGTAGGGATTGATCAGAATTCGTATTTATATGATCTAATTAAGAAAAGAAAAGTTTTGTCTGCCATCGTAACTTCTTGGCAAAACAAAACGTGTTTCTCCGAGCTCGCTGGATGCGTTTGACAGTTCCATCGCACGTGTTTAGACCAATGCTAATGTTGGTCTTGCGAACACAGGTACATGTAGGCCTATGTGTACTGTTTGTTGGGAGACTGGGTGACCGTAATGCTATGGACTCATGATATTTACAACAGTTC